GCTGGCTTTGTCTGTGACCCTCAGATGGCTGCCCACTTCTACCCGAGTGCTTGCTCCCTGTCTCTGTCTCTCTTCACCTGAGGCTCCAAGGCCTTCACTGGGGTCATGTTCTCCAACCCCCAGCTCCCCAGGAGCGCCCGCCCTCATTACCTTGGGGGCAGGGGAGGGGCAGGTGGCTCCCCTAATCACATCTGGCAGAATCCCTAGCTTTCTCTGTTGGTGCCCACAGCCACTGCCTGTGCCTTTAAGGACTGCTGTTCAGTGCCAGGGTCTTGACCTAAGCATCCTCAGCTGAGTTGGATTAAGGACCATTCCGTGCTTTTTGTGAATTCCTTCTCGCATCAGTTCCCTCCCCCACATGGAGAGAGAGTAGCCTGGAGCCCCAACCATTCTGCCAAAGGCCACCAGAGAACTGGTCTCTCCTGACAGCCTTGTCCCTCCGAGAGTCAAGGTTGCTTCTTTGATAGGTAGCTCGTGACCAGGGAGTGAACCTCCGGGGGTCTTGGGCTCTCACAGGATCTCCAGAAAGCCATGCAGAATCTTAAGCCATGAAGGACTATTCCGATGTCATCCTCCGTCCAGAGGCAACTGAACTGAGCAAGGTAAGGCTCACATGGAACCCACCTCCCAAGATCCCAGGTCCCCCATGAACCTGCCTGTCCCAGCCCGTAAGCCTCTGCCTTCCATTCCAGACAGAGTTCTGCAATCCTGCTTTCGATCCTGAAGCAGGGCCTTCTTGCCCTCCACCAGCCTTACAGAAAGATGCCAGCAGAAGCCTCAAAGCTCCCTGGCATGGTAACCATCTTAGGGTTGCTCAGGCACAGGAGAGAGCCCCGGAACTAAGGTGTGTGGGACATCCCGTGTAAGGGTGTCGTCTCTAAAAGCCCACTCTGTCCCCCCACACCCAGCCCAGCGTCTCCGAGGGCTACAGCCGGACTGTCATTTCTCCTGGCTCTGTATCCTGCTGCTCAGTGGCCTGCTGGTCCTGCTGCTGGGGCTGCTGGTGGCTGTCATCCTGGCTCGTAAGTACTTGGGAGGACTTTACATGGAGAGTCCATGAACTATTCTACCAGCCCCCAAGGACCTGCTCTTCTAAATGACATGCCTCCATCCTCCTGACCCCCAGAGTTCCAGGCTACATCCCTCCCCAGGACAACTGAAAGTCCACCGCCCGTCCCAGGCCTCACCCCCAAGGGTAGCAGCATTCCTAGCTCCACTCCTAATACCAGCACCAGCACCAGCACCAGCACCACCAGCACCACCTCTCCAGCAACCACGGGGCAACAGGAGGCAGCCCTGAGCCCTACACACCAGACCAGTGAGTTCTAAGGGCACTCTTCCAGAGAAGGCCCAAGGTGGCCGTGGGGAGGAAAAGCCTGGAAGAGGAGCCTTGGGGGTGGGGGAAGGCCTCTCTCCTATTGACCTCTTAACTCTAACCTCCATCCCCTGCAGCCTGCGGAGGCGTCCTTCTTGGTCCAAGGGGTTTCTTCAGCAGCCCCAACTACCCAGATCTTTACCCACCCCATAGCCACTGTGTCTGGCATATCCAGGTAGCCACAGGCCAGACAATACAGCTCAAGATTCAAGCCCTCAGCATAGAAGGTGTGCTCTCCTGTCTTTTTGATCGCTTGGAAATTAGCCCAGAGCCTTCAGGTCCACTCCTCAGGTGGGTCCCTCTGCTTCCAGGGGCTCCCACTTGTCTGAAGGGTGGAGAAACTGGAAGCAGAAGCAAAAATCTTGACCAGAAGGAAATTAGCAGAACTTACCTCTGACGCCTCCCCTGCCAGCACCTTTGCTGTGCTGTAGCCTAGGGAAAGGATTCCCTCTCTGATGCCTTTCTTTCTTTCTTTTCTTTTTTTTCTTTCTTTTTTTTTTTTTTTTTTTTTTTTTGAGGGTAGGGGGTGTTCTGAGACAAGGTTTCTTCATGTAACAGCCCTGGCTGTCCTGGAACTCACTTTGTAGACCAGGCTGGCCTCAAACTCACTGAGATCCATCTGACTCTGCCTCCCAAGCGCTGGGATTAAAAGTGTGCGCCACCACCTCCCGGGCTCTGGTCCATTTCTTATCTGAGTTCAGAGCCTCCATCACCCCCAGCCTGGCTTTTTTACAGGGTGTGTGGTAAAACGCCTCCAGCCACGCTGAACACCAACACCAGCCACCTCCGTGTGTCCTTCGTCTCTGACGATGACGTGGAAGGGTCTGGTTTCCAGGCCTGGTACCAAGCTGTGGCCCCTGGGCACTGTGAGTGACTTCCTGTCCTGTTCCTAGCTGCCTCCCCCTCAGCCACTCCCAACACCGGCACAGGGGGTTGGAAACTCTGGGGGATTCTGGCTCCAGATGGTTCGTGTCCTTCTCCAGGGAGCTGCGCCCATAATGAGTTCCGCTGTGACCTGCTCCTCTGCCTGAAGCATGACTTAGTGTGTGATGGTATTACCAACTGTGCCGATGGCAGTGACGAGGCCAATTGCAGCGCCGAGACCTTCGGTACGGGCCCAGCCATGGGACAGGGCAGGCACTCCGTCAGGCTTCTGTCCCAGGCTGGGCTCCCCTGCTCCGACCCAGCATTTTCTTGCCTGGCCACTCATGAGCCATTTGGCTTCTCTCCAGGGTGTGGAGGGAATCTGACTGGGCTCCACGGGGTATTCTCTACCCCCAACTACCCACAGCACTACCCTCACCAACAGGTAAAGGCAGCGCCCTCGGGAACTGGTACAGTACTCCCGAGACACCAGGGTGCCTATAGTTGTGTGCCTGGAAACAGTATGCCTGGGAATGTACTTGGTAAAAATCAGCTCATGCTGGCCAAAGGAAACATTGTTAAGCACCAACTGTATACCCAGATATTTCCATGCTGGGTAAACACATCTATCTCTGAGACCAGACCATTTGAAAGGACATTTATTTATTTATTTATTTATTTATAGACAAGGTCTCACTCTGTAGCCCATGATGATCCTGTAACTGGTGAGAATCCTCCTGCCCCAGCCTCCCAAGTGCTTGCATTATAGGTATGAGCCACCATGCCAGGCCTGGGTTTTTGTTTGTTTTGAGACAGGGTCTCACTATGTAGCCCTGGCTGGCCTGGAACCCACAGAGATCCACCTGCCTCTGCCTGGAAATAAAGGTGTGCATCCTCAGGCCTTCACCCCAACCCCTAAACCTGCTGGATTGTTTTTTGTTTTTTATTTTTCCATGCCTGAGAACAACCCCAGGATCTTATACAAGCCAGACAAGTTCTTTACCACTAAGCTATATCCTTGGTCCTTGGCTTTTTGAGACAGTCTCTGTATGTAGCTCAGGAGGCTGCTTTGGAACTTGACATATAGCTTGGGCTGACCTTAAACTCTGCTCCCAAGCACTGGAAATCATAGGTGTAAGCCACGTGCCTGACTGACCATTCCTCTTTTAAGAGGCACCAATGACGGAATGTGAGGTAGGCAACAGCCACTCACTCACACCTTGCCTGGTCTGCCCTGGCCATAGAAGGCCCCTGCAAGACCAGGCGGAGGCAGGAGGAGGTCCCCGTGAGTGGTCTCACTTCTACCCTCCTCCAGCTTTGCACCTGGTACATCTCAGTGCCCATGGGATACGGCGTGAGACTACAGTTCCACAACTTCAGTCTGGAAGCACAAGCCGAGTGCAAGTTTGACTACGTGGAGGTGTATGAGGCCGGCACTTCCGGGGCCTTCAGCTTCCTGGGCAGGTACCCAGCAGGGCAGCCCGTCCCCCATCTGGCAGGCGGCTGGGCTCCCTTCACGAGGCTCAAGTGAGTCCCCAGCTAGCTCCGCTGTCTTCAGGTGCTCCTTACCGGCACCCTGAAACAGCATGTGCCCTCCTGACCAGGCCTCACTTCTGCAGCTGCCCAGCTCTACTCTTCCCACCCTAGGGCCTCTGCCTTCCCCTATCTTCCCTGATGCCCCCCTTCTCCAAGTGGCTCCAGTTTAAGAAGTCATTTCACTGTAACGAACAGTGTGTGTCTCCTTCCCCAGACCCCAAGCTCCATGAATCAGCGGTCTTGTTCCCCATCACCCTTGGCATGGCCAAGAGCCCAGCTCAGAGCCCCCAGGGCTGGCCAGCGGCCTGTGCCAGGATATTTTTCTGCTCCGGGCAGGTTCTGCGGCACAGAGCCACCACCCCACCTCATCTCCTCACGGCACCAGCTGGCTGTGATCTTTAAGACGGATCTTGGTATCAGCAGCGGGGGCTTCTTAGCCACCTACCAGGCCACCAACGCTACAGAGAGTAGGTGTCCCTGGGGGCAGGGGGTGGGGGGTGGGCAACGGAGGCTCCTCCGTGGAACATCAGAGGGGACCCTGGAGGGTAGTGGGTCCAGGCATGTCCTAGGGCACTGTCACTCCTCTGTGCCCACAGACCCTTGTGGGCCCCGAGAGTTCTGCCAGAACGGAGGATGTAGGGATCTGCAGTGGATGTGTGACTTATGGAGAGACTGTGGGGATGGCAGCAGTGACAATTGTAGCAGTCACTTGTTCCCACAGCCAGGTAAGGAGCCTCACCCGAGCAAGTCCGTCCTGCCGGCCACAACAGGCTGGGATGCTACCCCACTTCCCTTACCTCCCTTCCCTTCCCCCTCGATAAGTTCATGTCTGGGCCCTTCTCTCCTCACCCCGGGGACCACTTTACAGAGTCCTGGCGGGACTCTCAGCCAGGGTCGGCACTGTACACTAATGTCACCTGAAAGGGACTTGGGAATGTAGGGGTCACTGGCAGGGGTGTCAAGACCTATCTACCTCGCCACTCACAGAGTCCCTCTCTACAGCCTGCTTCACAGAGCACATGATAGAAGTGGTCCCCAGTGGGCACTCCACATGCCCTAAGACCAGAGGGGCCTGCCTACATGCCGCGCTGGCAAACAGAAGGGCCCGTCGGGGTGTGTGAAACAGCTCTGTAGTGCCTCTTGAGATACTTAACAGAAGTCCACGTGCAAACGGGGACCCAGGGCCAGGCAGTGTCTTGTCCCCCGACAGTAACCCAACCCTCCCCCTTACAGACCTGGCCTGTGAACCTGTCCAAGTGGAGATGTGCCTTGGACTAAGCTACAGTACCACAGCTTTCCCCAACATCTGGGTGGGCCTGGCCACCCAGGCGGAGGTGGTAGACATCGTCAGAGGCTACAAGGTGCCGGGACACCCGAGGAGGGAGGCCATCGGAAGGGGTGGGCACATGGGGACGGGACATCTGAGGTCGGCCTCTTCCTCCCACAGAGTCTGACCAGTCTACCCTGCTACCAGAGTTTCCGGAGGTTCCTTTGTGGGCTGCTTGTACCTCGCTGCACCCCACTGGGCACTATCCTGCCCCCTTGCCGCTCTGTCTGCCAGGAGGCAGAGCGACAGTGCCAGTCTAGCCTGGCACTACTGGGCACCCCCTGGCCCTTCAACTGCAACAGGCTGCCTGAGGCGGCTAGCCTGGATGCTTGTTCCCAGCCCTGACCGGACGCCAGCCCTACCCTGTCTGCCCATGCTCCTCTACCCATATGAGTGGGCAGGGCAGGCAGAAAACAAAGGGAAGAGTGCCCTGGGCACGGGACTCTGCCCATCCTCTCTGGTGCTTCCCAGGGAGAAGGAAGGACCAGTTCTGACTCTGATCCTGCCCAGAGCAGCTTCTCTGCACGCTTATTTGCCAAGACCACCCCAGGCAGGGGCCGGGCCCATATTGTGCCCCTGGACAGCCTAGAGACTTCCTACCCAAGTCTTTGACCCTGACTCCCCATCTTCTGCCTCCCCCTTTCCATTTGAGTATTGAAGATCAGTCACCAGACCTTCAGCTTTTCCGTTTAGTCAGCAAAACCGTATTGAGTGCCTACCGGTGTGGTGGGACCCTCTCCTACCCCTGGGGGTCCAACTGGCTCTCTGCTTTTGGAATTCTTCACCCTGGGCTCTGCTGATCCAGTTCTCCACCCTCCACCCCACCCACACACACTAACTAGTCCTGACCTTGGTCTCTATCACTGCCCCATCCCTCCCTCCCTCCAGCTCCCGGGAACTGAAGCCCCAGGAACTGTCTGTCTGACCGTTCAGCCTCTCTGTAATGCAGGCTCAAGCCTCTCTCCTCCTCCTCCTTTCTCCACACCCCCTACACCCCCACAACTTTGGCCGGCCGCCGGGCGACACCACGAGTTATTTCCCTGCTATTTCCCAGCCCCGGAGCTCTTGGCCCCTGAACAACTGGTTTCCTCTAGGAGTTTGGGAGGAGCGCTGTGGAGCCGGCAAGGAGCAACCAGAAGCTGGAATCAGTCAGCAAGGGCAGGGGCTGCCTGGTTGGGGTAGGAGTGGGAGCAGGGCCAGCTGGAGGGTCTGAGGAAGCCATTCAGAGAGAGCAGCTGGGGAAGCTGGGGAGTGGGGAGGGGGTGAGTCTGGCAGAGGAGGAGGGCGGGTGGGGGAGGGGCTGTGGGAAAGCCTGGGCGCCAGCTCGGGGACCGGGTAGGGAGGGCTTGCTTTCCTTTCCTCTCCCGTGCTCTCCCAGTTCTTGATCTGGGGCGCCCTCCTCTTCATCCCGTCACACTGCACTCAGCCCCAAAGGCTTATCTGTGGAGCGGGGACCTGCTGGGTTCCACCTGGGTGGGGCGCGAGGTGGGTCCCAAGATTCTGGGTTCCGACTCTGGTCCTGCCCAGCCCACAGACTACAAGAGGATCCTGGCGTCTGGGCCTCCGGGGTCACCACCATGAGACCACTTCTTGCCCTGCTGCTTCTGGGGTTGGTGTCAGGCTCTCCTCCACTAGATGACAACAAGATCCCCAGCCTGTGTCCCGGGCAGCCCGGCCTTCCAGGCACACCAGGCCACCATGGCAGCCAAGGCCTGCCTGGCCGCGACGGTCGTGATGGCCGCGACGGTGCGCCCGGAGCTCCGGGCGAGAAAGGCGAGGGCGGGAGGCCGGGTAAGAAGTCATCTTCGTCGCAGCCCTTCGGGACATCCTAGTGAGCACCGCAGCTGCTCTCGTAGATCCTTTCGGGGTTCAAGGGTCCCGCCAGGGGGCGCTACGCCACCTCCATTCCAGTCGGCTGGGGTGGGGCGAGGTGGGCTGTGGGTGGAGGGGGTGAGTCAGCCCCAGGGAATCAGAAAGCCTAGATCCCTCTGCTCAGCACTTCAGATCTGCTCCCTGCAGGAGGCAACAGCCAGGGAGGCTGGGAGACTTAGGGATGGTCTATGGCGTCCCCTTCTGCACTCCACTGTGGCTCCTAATTTCTCCCCTTCGCCCTCCCACCCCCAGGACTGCCTGGGCCGCGCGGGGAGCCCGGGCCGCGTGGAGAGGCAGGTCCCGTGGGGGCTATCGGACCTGCCGGGGAGTGCTCGGTGCCCCCGCGATCAGCCTTCAGTGCCAAGCGATCCGAGAGTCGAGTCCCTCCGCCAGCCGACGCACCCCTACCCTTCGACCGCGTGATGCTGAATGAGCAGGGACATTATGATGCCACTACCGGCAAGTTCACCTGCCAAGTGCCTGGTGTCTACTACTTCGCCGTCCACGCCACTGTCTACCGAGCCAGCTTGCAGTTCGATCTTGTCAAAAATGGCGAGTCCATCGCCTCTTTCTTCCAGTTTTTCGGGGGGTGGCCCAAGCCAGCCTCACTTTCAGGGGGTGCTATGGTAAGGCTGGAACCTGAGGACCAGGTGTGGGTGCAGGTGGGCGTGGGTGATTACATTGGCATCTATGCCAGCATCAAGACCGACAGCACCTTCTCTGGATTTCTCGTCTATTCTGACTGGCACAGCTCCCCAGTCTTCGCCTAACGTGGGGTGAACCGGGAGCTGGCACTTGCTCCCAGAGGAGGGTGTGACACTGAAAGGCACATACCAGGAGGGCTGGCCCCCTGGAACATTGTGAATGACTAGGGAAGAGAGGGAGCCTCCTCCTGTCCCGCGGCTGGCAAGGAATGGAGACGGAGGCTGTCTGAGGTCAAGACAGGCAGCCTGGAACAGCGGCTGGGTTTCTGCCCAGGACTTTAGAGTGTGCCGTGCTGGCAACTGTGGGTTCCTGGTTGCCCCCGGTCAGGGATTCCAAGGTGGGATGCTCCTTCCTAGTCCTGTGCCCCTCTAGGTCCTTGACTCCTCCACCTCTCCTGCCCCTAGGGCGGGCCTTTTCCTCAGAGGTCACTCAATAAACCTCAAAAACCTCCCACTGGCTTCTGCCTTTCTTCTGAGGACCCACAGCAGGGAGGGTTCCTGGGTGGGATGGAGCCATGAGGCAGAGATATAGCAAGCAGACCTAGAATAATCCATGGAGCTGCCACCTAGTTATGTAGACGGTGAACCGGATTGCCTGACCAGAGAATTGCCCTCCTGATTTGGGGCTCTGGCCACCCAGAAAAAGGGACACCTTTTTCTAATTCAGACATGCCCAACCAAATGGGACCAGCCACTGTCTGGTCTAAAAAAGAATCAGGGACTTCCAATCACCAGTGCCCTCGATGTGAGCCAGATAAGGGTAAAGATACCTGCTTTCTTAGTTAACTGGAAAGCTACTGCGGTCACCCCCACCCGGAGATAAGTCGTTTCTGGGATAGCCACAAGGGGGCGACCAAGCTCCAGATTGCAATAATGATTTAAGGTCTGGACTTCCAAGGTAACTGTTAGGAGAAAGAAGGGTATTAAGGTCTGAAGAAAGAATTTCAGATGAAAGTAGAAGAAAAGGAGGTCCTCGGCCCCCAGCTCAGGGAGTTTATCTTCTCTAATAAAATGTTTATCCTCCACATTAAACAGAGACTGGAAGGAGCCAGACTTCTTGCTCAACACCCTGGGGCGGGAGTGGGATGTGTGTGTAGGGGGTTGGGGGGTGTTGCAAGCCCTGCCACAGGCCTCCAATTAAGGGGTGGAAGTGGAGAACTGTCTCCACTGTGCTGGGCACAGTCTGGGTGGGCCAAGCCATTAAGTCTGAGGCGGGCCACAGGCCCCCTGAGGGCTCACCTCCTGTGACACTCAGCTTAGCAGGCTCAGGCTAACTAATGACTAACAAACACAGAGTTTGCTAATCCCAATTGCTCAACCTCTGGATGCAGAGTGGAGGGACCTCCTTCTGGATCCAGCATTTCCCCTTCTTCCATAAGACACTGTGCTTCTAGGTGTAACATAAAATTACAGTGGGGAGAGCCGGGCGGTGGTGGCACACACCTTTAATCCTAGCACTCGGAGGCAGAGGCAGGGTAGATATCAGTGAGTTCAAGGCCAGCCTGGTCTACAAAGCAGTTCCAAGACAGCCAAGGCTACACAGAGACACCCTGTCTCAAAAAACAAAAACAAACAAACAAGATTACAGGGGAGTGCCCTAAATTCCTGCGGGCAGTGGGAAGGCAGCTATATCAAAGGGCCTTAGGATTCTGCGTCTTCCAGACAGGCCTGCAGACCTCTAGGCTCCAGCTCACACCTCTAGCAAAAAATCCCACACTCCAGCCCATCACAGTTCCAGGCCCTGTACCAAAACACTAAAAAGACAAGCACCACTCTGGGCATGGTGGTACACGCCTTTAATCGGGCAAAAGCAGGTGGATCTCTAAGTTCAAGGCCAGCCTGGTCTACATAGTGAGTTCCAGAACAGCCAGGGCTACACAGTAAAACCGCCCTAAAAACCAAAAAAAACGGAGAAGCAGCAGCTCCCCAGGAATTGGAGGGAGGGCTGGCCTCCAGGCAGCAGGCTCCACTGTGCCCTCCTGGGAAGAAGAGTACCATTGGGAGCACAGGAAGGGCAGGCCACAGGGGCAACAAGTTCTTACAAGGACTCACTGCAGTACAGAGCCGAGGGCAGCAGGTCAGATCAGAAGTGGTGAGCATCGCGCTTGGTGTGGGCTTTCCCTCAGCACCGCCCTGCCACCCTGTCTCCACACCCCCACCTCCAAGCTAGGTAACCCAGAAGCTCCAGTCTGCAAGAACCCCGACAACACTGGCTGACCACCTGCAAGGACCACACTGTGAGAGCTGTCAACAGAACTTTATTCATAGAAACTGGACAGACAGACAGACCTAAGGGAGCTGCAAGCCCCGAGGCCTTGCCCCTTGTTTGGACCCTAGTGAAATGTGCAGAATGCCCTCCCCAATGCCAGAGGGAGACCAGGAGGAATGCCGTGTTCTACATCATGTAGGGCATGAGGGGAATGAGTAGAAATCTGGTTCTTCCTTCGGAGGCTCCTCGTGGAGCTGGGGTGCCTGAGGGTAAATGGTCCCAAAGCCAGGTTTAGCTGCACCCCTGTACCCAGGGATAAACTCCTGACCCAGGTTCTGGGTCAAGTTGGGAGACTTTAAGACGATGACAGGCAGAGGTGGTTCACAGGGCACCTACGGGATTCTACTCCCAGACCCACCAGGGCGGAGGCTCTGGGTGAACACAAAGATTCCATTCCAAAACAAGAAAACCCAAAAAACAGAAAAATTAAGATCACTCCAAGGCCCAGGAGTTGCCAAAAATCCTCACATGACATGATGTGGTGTGGCCTGGAGGGAAGGACCAAAAAAGCCCCAACAGAAAAGCCAGAAGCAAAGAAGGACAGCCCCAGAGGCTGGTGTCTGGACGGGCCCTGGGCAGACTGGGGAAGAGCCCGCCAAAGTCTCAGGGCCCTTGCATAGTGACAAACTCACCACCCTCAGCATCCCAGGGCCCCACACAGGGTTCAGAGGGACGTTACCCTGCTCCACCCAGACTGGGGCCTTCCCGAGGATTCCAGCTACATATATTCCTGGATATATGGCTTGAGGCTTGCCAGAGTTGCCGTCATTGGGGCAAAGAAGACTCAGGCCAAATCCCAGAGGCAAAACGCTGATGCTGTCCTGGTGTGTGGAGCGCAGAGGGTGGGTGGGCAGGCAGGCAGGCAGGGAGGGAGGGAGTCATCAGAGGTAGACATTGAGGGTCTGCAGGATGCCGCGGCGGCAGAGCGGGCAGTTGCGGTTGTAGATGGGGTGGCGCATGAGGATCTCGGTGCAGGCCTGGCAGAGACACAGGTGCCGGCAGGGCAGCAGCAGCACCGTCTTGCTCTGGTCCTGGCAAATGACACACTTCTTCCTCTCCTCCTGCTCCTTCAGCAGCTTCCACGGGTCTTGCCC